GACACTTACTAAAAATGTTAAATGGAGTTTAATGGATCCAGAAATTCCACTCCTAAATATGTATACAAGATAAATAAAAGTATGTGCCTGAACAGAAACTTACACACAAAGTATAGCAGCCATATTTAAAAGAAACAAAAGGTAATAATAAGCCAAGTGTCCTAAACTGATGGATGAATACGAAGTATGTTACTGTCATAAAATAGACTATCATTCAATCATAAAATGAATGCAGTGATAACCTATGATTTGTATACATTTTAAAATGTTTATATTAAGTGAAAACAGCGAGCCAAAAAAGACCATATATTTTTATTTTCTTATTTGTATTAATGCTGATAAAATGAAAGCCTATAGACTAAATGTGTGTGCAAGGGCAGCAGACGGAAGAATGGCTGACAATAGACACAAAGCTTCCTTTTTAGGAAATGCAGGTATTGAAAACAAGCTTTTGGTGGTAGTAATTTAACTCTGTGAATCCTGACAATCATTAAATTGTGGGCTTAAAAATTACAAGAAATTTTACAAGAAAAAAAATCAAGTAGTAGTTATCAAGAACAGTGACTGGGGAATAGGAGCGTATGAGACTATTTAGGGGAGGTGTAGAATATTTCATACCTTGACTTTGGCGTTGGTTACACAACAGTATGGATTTATAGCCAAGTACATTGAAATTGATTTAATACCTGAATACAATGAGATTTATTATATACAAATTATACCCATAATATAGCTGCCTTGTAAGGAAAGTTAAAAACAGAAACAATATCCCCAGTCATAGACAAATTTACAACACACATTTTTTTGAGTTCATGCTGCAATTCCAACTGTAGATTTAGACTTTTAAGACAAGTGGAAAGGTTATTTCTGTAGTCCAAGATCCATTTCCCTGTATAGTTGAAGATCTTTCACCTAACCCTCAGTTGGAAGTGATTAACCTACAAAGTCATGACATCTCGCAAAGCAAATATATCAAGCAACAAATATGCTCAGTTAAAATCCTATGCTCCTATAGCCCAGTCCAATCATAAGAAAAATAGACCTTTTAAAAACTACAAAATCCCTAGCAAGTGCATTTCAAAACTACCAAGATCATCAAAACAAGCAAAATCTGAGAAACCGTCACAAGCCAATGGCTTCTAAAGAGACAGAAACACCATGTGATTCACACTGTCTTGGATGGGACACTGCCCACAGGTAAATTAATGAACCTGGAACAAAGTGTGGGAAAACAGTCGATTAAAATAGACCAATGTGTGCTTATCCATTGTGATCATGATACAAGAGGGTGTTAAAATACCAAATCAACAAAGGCTGCTAGAATATGTGAAAAGAATTGATCTTAGCTAACTCAAAATGAATCAGAGACTTAAATGCAAAAGGGAAAAAAATTTCCAGAGGAAAACATGAGAAAAAAAATCACTGAAATCTTAGATTTTTACAGTCTTAGCTAGGTACAACATCAAAAAAAAATGGAAAAAGAATAAATTTGAAAATGTGAGTGAGGCCTGGTGAGCAATTCCAGGAACAGCAATGTGGGGGAACTTGAAACAGGGGAATTGCAAGCCTGGGCTACACAGTAACTGACAGACCAGGCTGGACTACAGAATGAGTCCTTGTCTGGGAAAAATAAATCAAAACCTTTCTCTTCAAAACACATACCATTGTGACAACAAAAAAGCTGAGCACTGTGGCACACCCTGTAATAGCAACTAGGAAGGTTAGAAGCAGGAGAATTGCAAGTTTGAGACTAGCTTAGGCTACACGGTGGGACCATGTCTCAAAAACCAAAATAACACAAACAAAAATAAAACAAAGCAAAAGGAGAAAAGACAGACTATGTGTTGGTGATAAGTATTTGCACATTAAATACCTGATAGGGATTTGGATTTAGACTGTGGAAATAATTCTTACAACTCACTAATTAAACAACAACCCAATTTTAAAATGGAAAAAAAAAACACAGAAGCAGCTCCTTGTGTATAAAAGATACACACACCAATAGCTTATAAGCACTTAAAAACATGTTTACTCCTCCTGGCCACTCCTTATGACATAAATGTTGGCATATATTATTTCATAGCAATTTAAATAGCTATAATTGTAAAGGGCAAGACACACATCTAAAATTCTAGCATTTAGGAGATTGAAGCAGGCAGCTTGTGAGTTTAAAGCCATCCTAGGCCTCATAAAAAGATTCTGAAATAAAATAATAAGAAGAGCCCAGTCAATAACAAATGTGCACGAGGGTGTGTTACAATGAGAAGCTTCATATACAGAATGCTTCTGCTGCTTTGGAAAAAGTTCTGGAATTTCTTCAAACATTAAACCTAAGTTGTCCTATTACCCAGGAATTCCACTTTCAGGTAACTACAACAAAAGAAGAAAACAAATGTTCACACTAAGATGTGCTCATCAATGTTCTAAGCAGCATTAGTCATAATAGCCAACAACTAGAAAAAAACACTAAATTTCTATCAGTTGGTGAGTAGATAACCAAAAATGTATTACCCATAAAGTATAATATTATTAGGCAACAAAAGTAAGTACGTATATGTGCAACAGTATGGTTAAGTCTCAAAACTATTATGGTGAGTGAAAGAAACCAGACTCAAAAGGCCACATATTACATGATTTCATTTAAGTGTAATGTTCAGAATGGGAAAGTTTGTATAGACAAAGAATACATTAGTGGCTGTCTGGGCAGGAGATAAAGATTAACAGTAAGTGGGCATGAGGTTTTACTGGGAGGATCAAAACATTCTACAGCTGATTTGTTGGGATAGCTACACAAACCTGAAAACTTACTAATAACATACTTAAATAAGTGTATTTTATTTTATTTAATTTTGTTTCGTTTTAGTGCTGAGGATTGAACCTAAGGCCTTGTGCATGTGAGACAAATGCTCTACTACTGGGCATCCCTAGCCCCAGTTGAATTTTATGGTACATAAGTTATCACAATCAAATTGTTAAAATAGGGAGAAAAGGTGAGACTGGGTGGAGAATATGTGGGAATTCTGTACTATCTTTGCAATATTTGTTTTGAGACAGGGTCTTGCTATATGTAGTCCTGGCTCTCCTAGAACTTGCTCTGTAGATCAGGCTGGTCTCAAACTCAAAGATCCACCTGCCTCTGCTTCCCAAGAACTGGGATTAAAGGTGTGAGTCACTAGACCAGACTTTGAAACTTTTCTATAAATCTAAAACCTTTCTGGAAAAATGATTACATCTATTTAAATCAAAATCAGAATTTATGGCCTTCCAGATGGTTCCATAAGTAAGCCTGATATCCTGTGGTAAATCTCCAGGCCCCACATGCTTGAAGGAGAGAATCAACTCCCAATAGTTGTTCTCTAACTTCCACACTCATGCCAGGCATCATGTATGTATGTATACACACACACACACACACACACACGGAGGGAGAGGAAAGGAGAAGAGAGGAAAGGAGAGGAGACAGAGAGAGAGAGAGAGAGAGAGAGAGAGAGAGAGAGAGAGAGAGAGAGAGTCAGGCTCTATGGTACCAATACTCAAGAAGCTGAATCAGGTCACACAATCAGTAAGATGCAATAAAATAATTAGTATTTAAAAGAATATATTCATGAATTATCAATATTTCTGCATGAAAAATATTGTCAAAGAGTTTTCTAAAGATAAAAATTTCATTAACTAAAGAACATTTAGAATCAATTTTGATGATAGAAAATAGTAAGTTTAAATCTCAATTAGGCAAAATAGTACTTCCCTTAAAAAAATTCTGTTCTTATTAGTATTTCTGTGTTAAAAACATATTTCATTGGGGGCTGGAAAGATGGTTCAGGGGTTAAGAGCACTGGTTGCTCTTCCAGAAGACCTGGGTTCAATTCTCAGCACACATATGACAACTCACAACTGTCTGTAACTCAGATCTCAGGGGATCCAACATTCACATGGTGTACAGACACACATGTAGGCAGAAAACACATTCACATAAAATGTTAAAAAGCTAAAAGCATTATATATACATATATTCAATATTATTATTATATCCTGAATTCCATCAATTAACATTTGTCATAACTTGTCTTCTAGACTTGGTTTTATCATCTGCCCTGCAAAGTCTAAAATACCTGTGATCCAGCATTATACAAAAAGTTTGCTAAGCCCTATTCTATACCACAACAAAGGAGACAAACATAGTCAGTCACTTTAAAAAGTATGTTTAACATTTTTTCCTAATGTCTTCTTTGATATGTTCTATAAAAGATAAGCCTTGGATCTCTTCTGCTGCACCATTATTTGGAAATTCCCCTTTTAAAAAAATCCACACTAGCAAAGCGTCGATGTAATTGCCATTACCATGTTATTAAAGTGACAATATCATACCCTGGTATCCCTAAGGTTACTCACTGAGGTTTCTTAGGTATCGAGTGGCTCCTATGGCATCACACCCTGTCTTTAGCATCATTCTGGCACATCACCTCTGTATGGTGTCATGTGTAACCTGTGCTGTGGCAGAGCCTTACTCTGATACCACTCCACCGGGATGCCAGAGTTAACTAGCCTGTGCTTCTTTCCACTCCTTGGACAGTGGCAGGGAGGGGGAGGGTAGCTACAGTCAATGGTTCAAGCTCAGAGGTAGTACTCGGCTCCAACTACTGTCCCTTCCGCCTGCCACTGAAAGTGAGGGCCCCGAGGGAAAAGATCTGTAGGATCCCAGAACTCTCTTGCCCCGCTACAGTTTCCATTTCATGTGGCCAACTTACTGGCCCACCAAAGACCACCCACCCTAGCTTTTTCACACAGTACTACCAGAAGCCGCTCCCATTACCTGACTCCATTCTCCAGCTGTCATCCTGGGCCAATTCCACCGGCAACTTGACTACGGCTTTCTCTAAGGATTCTGGGACTTGTAGTTCCACATTGCTAGGACCAGGAACTGAGGTGCTTCCAAAGACGCCTCCAGGCCTGGAAATGCTTTCAAACTGCAACTCCCAGAAACTCCAGGTTATGGGCGGGGCAACAAGGAAAATAGCGATCAGTGATTGGAGAAGCTCTAGCTCTTTGATTGGTCGCCGGAACAGGAAATGCGAGTGGGCGGGGCTTGAGTTTCGCGGAGGTCTTGGGAAGGCGAAATGGAGGGTAGTGTGTCTAACGTAAAGATCTGTAACCTGGCCTACAGCGGGAAGCTGGATGAGTTGAAGGAGAGCATTTTGGCTGATAAATCTCTGGCTACTAGAACTGATCAGGTAAACCAGCCCGAGGGCCTGTCGCCTAGCAGCGGGTATCAGGGAAGCCCTACATGGCTTCCTTCCGGGTCCTAACTTGGTGTGAGGCCACTTCTGAGCTCCTCCTGCCCACTCCTCCCTCTTGTAGCCTTGGGTTATACCACGACTAGTTGTCCAACTGTAACCCTTCACAGACTTTGGGGAGAGGGGGAGGCTAAGCTTGCTGAATTTCATATATTTCTAGAACAATCACCGCTTTTCTCAGAAATTCCCGGAGTTAGGAAGAGAAAGCGCGACGGAGATCTGTGAAGAAAGCTTGTTAGGTGGCTTTTTCTTTAGTTGTAATCCTAGTCAGTGGACCACGTGTAACCAAATGCCTGTTTTTGTATGTCAGGAAGTTTGAGAAGAGCCGGGAATTTCAGTCAAGTCGAAAAAAACGGGCATAAATGAAATAACGGCACATGTCTTACTACATAGTTTAAATCCCCCAGAAAGAAGTTTACATACTCATTTCAGAACATGGAAGGGGAAGACATGATAGGAATAGCTGGGAAGGGCTTTGTATAGAAGTGGAGGTGGTTTACACTGTGAAGAGAGAATGAGGTTCCATGTGGGGTGAGTGAACTGAGGTAAACAAAAGAGAATGGACATAGGGGAGTGTTTCTGTTCCGACCAACTAAGTCTCATGTTTTTATCGTGACTTTCTAAATCATAGGTTGCCTTCTGTGTTGATAGACAGTGTTAAACATTAGTAAGACAGTACATCAGACTTCAGAACTTCCATGTTGTCTCTTTGAGAAAAGAACTCGAAGAGACTTTTTTTTTTCTGGAATTTTCCTTTATTACTCAACAAGAGAATTCCCTTATGTTCACCGCGTTTGCTTTTGTGATGGTCTGGTCATGTGGTTTAAATTTAATAAAGTGAATTAAGACTTAATCCACTAAAAATAATGAATCAATGACATAAAAGCACGAGTTAATCAGGATTAAGAAGTTAAATACAACAACCAAATGCAATTAATTTATGGACTTTATTTGCATCCAAATTTAAACCACCTGGAAATGGGCTTGTAGGAGATTATTGGTTTTAAGTGAGTTCATATATTTACTTTATGTAATTTTTTTGTTATTTAAGACATGATCTCCCTATTTAATCCAGGCTGTCCTTGCAATCAAGATCCTCCTACCCACCAGCCTCCCAAGTTTTGGAAGGTTTGCAATACCACCCATGTCAGAGTTAAGAAATGTTACTTTAAAAGGTCCAATAATGGTTTTGTGTTTGTTTGTTTTACAAAAGTACTTTTATTTTTTAGGTGCTGAAATAATTAGAGGTGAACAGTCATGGCCTTTAGGATTCTGTTTTAAAGAAACCTCGGCAGGACTGAAGAGGTGGCTCAGTGGTTAAGAACACATACTTCCTTTCCTCACAACTTCCTGTAACTCCAGCTCCAGGGGGATCCAGTGCATCTGGCCTCCCACGCCCATGTGGTCACATGCACAAATCCACCCACATGCACACAACTAAAAGTAAAATAAAAATTTTTTTTTTAAAGAAAATTCAAATAATAAAATCAAGAAGTAAATATGGCAAGGTTTTTGTTTTTGTTAAATCTAAGTAATAGGCACTTGATCTCTGTCACATTCCCTCTATTTTATGTGTATTTGAAATTTTCATAAAATTGAACTGCTGTCTGGGGACACTGACAGGGAAGGCCATAGCTATCCACAGCCATGAGACTTCCAACTAGCTCCCTTCCTGGGTACCAACAGCATCTCCTCCCAACCAAGCAACTCCTTAAGTGTCACATTCAATCAAGTTCATGCACACACACAAACACACACACATTTATACACCCAAACACTCTTACACATGCATTGTCATACACTCACATTCACACTCATACACACTGTACGATAATCACTTTATATTACTCAAAACTAAGAGGTACAGCAATAGGCACAGTTAGGAACTCTCTCTAAGAATCATGATTCTTTTAAAAAAAATTTATTGCACTGATTCTGTGGGGTATGTTGTCATAAATTAATCTCAACTATTTTTATAATCAGATCTCATTTTGTTCTCCATAACATTCATGTGTTCAGCAGATATAGTGGCATATGCCTATAATATTAGCACATAGGAAAACGATTGAGAATTTCAAGCTAAAGTCAGCTACATAGATCAAAAACAAAACAAAACTTCACATGTTCTCTGTAGAGCCTCTCACTTGTAGTCTGTGTGGTAATAGAGATTTCATAGGCACAGAGCATGGGTAAATTGCATGACCCTGGATAAGTTGCTTATGTGAAGTAGTCTTACTTTCTTTATGTGTAAAGCGGAGGATAATAGGCACCGTGTAGAATGGTGGGAGTCAAAAGAAATGATGGACAGAAAAGTAGCACTGCTTCACAAGGGCGTGCATAAGCGTTGTAAACAGCAAATATCCATTTCTGCCAGTGTATTGAAATCAATGCTTTCATCACTCGATCCTGCCCAGACCCCCTTATATTCATGGATGTTATTCACTCCATGTTACTAATACCTTGACCTCCCAAATGCCAGTAAGTAACGTGGTTGAAGGTTACCTACCTGGTGCTCTCCATTTCTTACTATAGGTTTGCCAGCATCAACATTTTTTTCTGCATATTGGTCTTCAACACTGTTGACAGCTTTGCTCCCCTGTTTCCCATATAGGACAGCAGAACAGCACTGCACTGGGCATGCTCAGCTGGTCATACAGAAATTGTTGAATTCTTGCTGCAACTTGGAGTGCCAGTGAATGATAAAGATGACGTGAGTACAAGGCAATGATAAGCTCCGGGTTATCTTTAGACTCCAGCCTTGTATTTACTGAAGCGTGAATATTAAGCTCATAAACAAAATTTTAAGGTTTATAAGTAGGAAGTTACATTACGACCTTAGTGAATAGGCATGGGGTTAACAATGTCATTCTTTTAGAGTGCTAAAGAAACTATAATTCAGGGTGAGAATACAGATCAGGGCTTATCACTATGAACTCTAAAAGACTAAACATTTTAATGTTGAAATTGCTGGTGAATATTGCCAGAATAATAAAAGCTTAGGTATATGTTACATAGAAACATTTATTATAACGATATTGGTTCTATTAAGATAAAACTTGTTGGAGCTGGAGAGATGTTTCAGTAGTCAGGAGTGCTTGCTACTCTTGTAGAGGGCAGAGGTTTGGTTCCAGTAACAATGATGGGTGGCTCACAACTTCCTGTAGTTCCTGCTTCAGAGGAGCTGATACCCTATTTTGGTCTATATGCATATATACATAAATAAAAGTAAATCCTTTAAAAACGGTGAGACTTACAGAAAACTGAGAATGGAACCTGTTTTATAGGCACAGAATAATTTTCAGAAATATTTACTGAAGTAACATTTATAAGAGAAAATAACAATTTTAAGGAAAAATGATTGGATAGCACGTAGTGTACATACTTTGTAAGTTAATCAATCAGTCATTCCAACAAATTCCAAAGAAAAATTCTTGCAATATAATGGTAAGTAGAAATTGTTAAAAACAAACCTCACAGAGCTTCATATACTCCGATTTTAGTTTTATTTTTTAAAGTTATTGTATGGAGAAGATGTATTAGAATTAGTCTACTATGCCATACCTGTGTTACAGGATTGTGGCTATTTTGAAATGAGCTATTTTGTTGCTATTGATGTGTATGTATGAGTGTATGCCATCTATGTGCAGCTGCCTGTCGAGGCCAGAAGAGAGCATCGGATCCCCCGAGGCTGGAATTACAGACCATTGTGAGCTGCCTGAACCAAACACTGGTACTTTGGAGGAGCAGAAAGTGCTCTTAACCACTGAGCCATCATGCCAACTCATTTTTTCTTTTATGTACATTTTTGTTCCAGATTTTTCCACAATGCTCAGTGTTGAATGGAAGGAGAATATTGTTAAGTTATTCACAAAACTCTGTAAACCTGAATAAATGCTAATGTTCATACTTCTGTCCCTTTTTTACCTTGGCTTTTTAAAACCCACAGGCAGGTTGGTCTCCTCTTCATATTGCTGCTTCTGCTGGCCGGGATGAGATTGTAAAAGCCCTTCTGATGAAAGGTGCACATGTGAATGCTGTCAATCAAAATGGCTGCACTCCCCTCCATTATGCAGCTTCGAAGAATAGGCATGAGGTATGGTTCTATCCTTGTGGTTGTTTCCTTTGAGTTTTAAACCTGATGAGAAAAATGGATTTCTACATTGTTTACTTGCTGTCCTTTCCAGATTGCTGTTATGTTACTAGAAGGTGGAGCTAATCCAGATGCTAAGGACCATTATGACGCTACAGCAATGCACCGGGCAGCAGCCAAGGGTAACTTCAAGATGGTTCATATCCTTCTGTTCTACAAAGCATCCACAAACATCCAAGACACTGAGGGTAACACTCCTCTGTAAGTGACAAGTAGCAATCGTTTTCATTCTGATTATAAGCGCAATACATGCTGAGAGAAAAAAAAAAAACCAAAAAAACAAATTGAAAGGATACCAAAGCATAATGACAATAATTAAAATTGCTTATCATTTTGCCACCCAAAAAAATACTGATATTATCTTTAAGAATTTCCTTCTATTTGTTTATATGCAAATATATATATATATATATATATGCAAAATTAAGGTCATATAATTAATTTTATGTTTTAATCTCATAGCAATTGTAAACATTTTTCAATTTCATTAAATTCAGTTAAAACATTTATGATAGCTGCTTACAATCCCACTTTATGGATGTCCCATGACTTAATCATTCCTGATATTGTTTATTTAAATATCTTTGAGCTTTTGACTATTTTAACTAATGACACATTGACATTGACCAATTTATTTCAAAACCTTTGCCCATATTGTGGATTGTGAGCTTAGTTTAGAGTCCTAGAAATTGAATGATTGTTTCAACAAATACACATATTTCTTGACTAATTGCTTCCAGAGGAGTTGTCCCATTGTTCCCTCCAACAGCATCTTAACAGTAGCTATTACCTCCCCATCAGCACCAAAATTACCCTCATGGTGTGTGAAACATTTCATGATTAAGACTTATGTTTTTGCTACTGATTTTGAAGTATATGAATCTCTAAAATTGTAAGTTTTATAGTCATTCTGTTCCCTTTTAGAAGAATTCATTCATTTTGTCAGAATTTTAAGTGTTCTTGACACAGTAAAAATACGATTTATACTGTATCAGTTGAAAGTATTTTCTGCTTGTCTCTTCGTTCATGAGTTTTCAGCTATCGCCAAGTTATCAATTGCTATGTAGCCAAACCTATAATTTCCGTCACAACTAAAAGTTTTGTCTAATCCCAAAACTCTTAAATCCACATAGGATTTATTGATGTGGATGACTTGAAACCAACTTGTACCTTCATAGATTTATTTTACATACCCATTTTTTTTCCTTTGTTGAATAATGACCATTTTGAATCAGAAATTCTGAGTCTTTTTTGTAGTCCAGAATAAGGTACAGCCTTTCCCCCTCTGACTTTAAGACAGCTTTTTAAAGTATTGTTTCCAGGGCCTGAGCATGGTGGCACACACCTTTAATCCCAGCACTGGGGAAGCGGTAAAGGCAGATCTCTGAGTTCAAGCCAGCCTGGTCAATATTTCAAACTAGCCAGGGCTCCATAGTAAGACCCTGTTTACGAAAACAAACAGACAAACAAACCTGGCCAGCTGTGGTGGTATATGCCTTTAATTGTAACAATGAAAGGCCAAGAGACAGAATCCAAGGCCAGCCTAGTCTACATAGCAAGCTCTTATGGTAGCCAAGGACAGATAGGGAAATCCTGACTTAAAACAAAACCAGTATTGTTTTTTAATTGAAAATAGATTAGTCTCTCATACAGTACATCCCAACCACAGTTTCCCCTCCTCCCACTTCTACCCATCTTCCCACCTCCTCTCTCCCCTAGATTCACCTCTATTTCCTCTTTAGAAAAGAGCAGGCCTCCATGAGACAGTAGACAAACAAGACAAAACAAGACACACTAAGACAAGGTGAAAACCCTCACATTGAGACTGGACAAGGAGGGAAAGAATCTCAAAAGCAGACAAAAGAGTCAGAGACACACCCACTCCCACTGTTAAGAGTCCAATTAAAACACCAAGCTGAACAACCACAGCATGTGTACAGAGGGCCTAGTACAGACCTTTGCAGGCCCTGTAATTGCCACTTAAGGCTCTGAGAGCCCATATGCACCCTGCTTGTTGATTTCAGAGGACCATGTTCTAGTGTCCTCCATCCCCTCTGACTCCTGTAGTCTTTCCTCCTCTCTTCTTCAAACTTCCCCCATCTCCAAGAGTAGGAATCCGACAGAGACCAAGAAAAGCATTATTTTCTTACTCTTTAAAAGTCTTTCTTAGAGGCCCTCGTGACTTTTTTTTTAGATTTATTTATTTATTTTGTGCACATGAGTACACTGTAGCTGTATTCAGACACACTAGAAGAGGGCATCGGATCCCATTACAGATGGTTGTGAGCCACCATGTGGTTGCTGGGAATTGAACTCAGGACCTCTGGGAGAGCAGTCAGTGCTCTTAACTGCTGAGCCATCTCTCCAGCCCCCCATGTGACTTTTTAAAATAAATATTCTAACTTATTTCTCCATGAGTCAATCACATTCGTCTGGAAATAGTCTAGGAATTGTATAGTATAGGGTCCTTGGGAGAAAGTAGGATTTAGGACTCAATGGATACTATTCTTCAGTATAGATGCTGCCATTTTCAACTACATTAACTGCAAATATTAAGAAACTTAGCTTTCTTCCCCCATAATTTTCTCATCTGTAATAATATAGTAGTAGTTTCTCCCTCACTATATTAATTTGAGGGTTAAATAAAATCCTGTGTTAAGTGCCTAATAGTTTGCCTGTCAAACTGTATAAGTGACTGGCAGAAGTTGGTTTCTTTCCTCAAGCAGTTAGCTGTTGAACTCTCCCATCATAACAAGAACTTTAACCTCTATGACAACTTTTACTGTAAAACAGTGCTAACAATACTATGATTTGTCAATGTAGATATACCAATCAAGCAAAAATCAGATTTTTTCAATTGTTTTTCTGCAAGTTGCACAAATTGTTATAGAGTCAGGATATAAATCGAAACATCTCTAAATTCTAACCGTGAGTTATTATTACATGATGTATTTGGAGTAAATTACCATTAATCTCTGTTGAAAGACGTATTTGTGCCTTAGGCTAGCATTTAATAGCTAATCAACTGTTTTTAATAAGACCAGGATTATGACTTATGATCTGGTATTGCATAGCTATTCTAGTTAACTTTAATTGACAATCTTTCTCATGCCAATTGAGTTCCCTTCCCTGATTAAATAACTTTCCAGTATTACGCCTGTCCAGTGATAAGCATTTTGGAATGGAAACTCCAACCATTCTGTAGAAGTGGTAGTGACTAATTGATCTTTGTTATCCCCAATTTCAGACACTTAGCCTGTGATGAGGAGAGAGTGGAAGAGGCAAAATTGCTGGTGACCCAAGGAGCAAGTATTTACATTGAAAATAAAGAGGAAAAGACACCGCTGCAAGTGGCCAAAGGGGGCCTGGGTTTAATACTCAAGAGAATGGTGGAAAGTGAAGCAGGTTCTATGTAGTCTGCATGTGTTTTGTTGTCCTGACTGTCCTGGAAACTGTTGTACTGCTTACAAGGCATCTTGTATACGTGAAAATGTTTTCTTACCTTCATAATTTGTTGTATTGCTCCTACTGAAATACTTTCCAGGCAATGAAAAACTGGTGAGCTTGTTCTACTGATGTCATTCATTAAATCTTGATTACTTTGGAGTAAGTGATTGTGGCTGTCCTGTCTTAAGCGTCCTCCCATTCACCTGTTGACTCTCTGGGGAACAGAACAAGTTCAGAAAAGGCCTGCCAGTTGGGCCAGGTAGTTCCAGGGAGCTTTTGCACTTTCCTCTGTGTAGTCAAATCCTGTCCTGTTTTTCAAGTTCACTCAAGAGACATATGCCAAATGTTTCTCTTTTTTTCAACTACAAGGTTAATTTATTTTTGTTACAAGAGGAAGTTCTATATTTTAGAGGAGCAAATTTTAAGTTGAATTGTATGTTCTTAAAAAATGAAGAGCAAGAGCCTCTGTGCCCATGTACCTTTTTAACTAGCTGTTTTCCTCTAAAATAAGACATATCATTTTTTTAAAAAAAGAAATTTAAAGTGTCCTTGTGTTGAAAAGAATTGTCAAACTTATTAAAGAGATATATAACAAAGTTATATTTTAATTTATATTTCAAGTACTACAAGCTTGTATTCAAGTATTACATACAATAAACTGTTGAAAGACTCCCAATTTCTCACTCAAGTCAGTTACACATTCACTTAAGCCTTGAAATCTTGAGCTAAGATATATTTCTCAGTTTGGGGATAGTTCTGAAGCCAATAAAATTAATAGAGCTTAAACTGCAACTAAAATCCATCAAAATTAGTAATCTTTTGAATTGCCAGTTAATGTAGAGTATAGGGAAGTTAATAATTATACACTTGAACTCTATTTAGAGAAACATTTTATTTGATTAGTAGTCAGCAAATGCAGTCCAAATGACTCTTCAAATTAATTGTAGTTTTAGTTTGGTGCCTGCAATTATTGCTTGAAAGATGGGATCCAAGTATACCCACATACTTTCTTTAATTTGGGGTTAAAGATTTAAATGCCCGGTAACTAAAATGAGTTCTGTACATATGAGCTGCATCATTGTTATACAAAACTTTGGACATGACTATTCTGAGTGCTAATCTTTATTAGACTGAATCAGGGAAGTATTCTATGAAATAAAAATTTACTAAATGTTAGTGCTAAAATTGATGAGGAATTAGTTATTGCTAGTGGGGGTTTTTTTCCTCCCCATTATTCTCCTGTTCTCAGAAAAAGGGGAAGTTCCCATGGATATCAACCTGCCCAGCATATCAAGTTGCAGTAGGACTAGGCACGTCCTCTCCAAAATTGCAGCTCATCAAGGCAGCCCAGCTAGGGGAAAGGGATCCAAAGACTGGCAACAGAGTCAGAGACAGCCCTGTCCCTGCTGGTAGGAGTCCCACGTGAGGATCCAGTTACACATCTGTTACACATCTGCAGAGGGCCTAGGTCAGACCCATGCAAGCTCTCTGGTTGGTGGTTCAGGCTCAGTGGGCCCCTATGAGCCTGGGTTAGTTGATTCTACATATTTTCTTGAGGTGTTCTTGACCCCTCTGACTCCTTCAATCCTTCCTCTCCCTGCTTCATAGAATTTCCCAGGCTCTGCCTAATGTTTGGCTTGGTTCGCTGCATCTCTTTCCATCAGCTGCTGGATGAAACCTTTCAGAGGACAGTCATACTAGGCTCCTGTTTGGAAGTATAGTAGGATATCATTTATACTGTCAGCGGTGGGCTCCCTCTCATGTCAGGGGTCTCAAGCTGGGCTAGTTATTGGTTGGCCGTTCTCCCAATTTCCACTCCATCTTCACCCTTGTACAACTTGTTGGCAGGAGAAATTGTAGGTCTAAGATTTTTGTCTGGGCCAGTGTCCCAGTCTCTCCATTGGAAGTCTTTTCTAGTTACAGGACATGGCCAGTTCAGGCTCTATATCCCCCACTGCCAGGAATCCCAGCCAGGATCTCCCTTATAAATTCCTGAGAGTTTCCATTGTTCTGGGTTTCTAGCTCATCCCAGAGATGCCCCCATACGTTGATTCTAGTTCTCTCTTCCCTGAGCTCTCTCCCTGTATTCTCCTGACCTGAACTCCTGCTCCCCTCTCCACTCTAAACCCACCCGGCACCCAGCCTCCACTGACTCCTGATGTCCACTCCATTTCCCCATCTCAGTGATTCAAGCATCCCCCTTTGGGCACTCCTTGTTAGTTAGCATCTTTGAGTCTGCAGATTGTAGCATGGTTATCCTGTACTTTTATGGCTAATATCCACTTATAAGTGAGTATATACTATGCATGTCCTTTTGGGACTGGGTTATCTCACTTAGGATGGTGTTTTCTAGTTCCATCCATTTGGCTGCAAAATCCATGATGTTCTTCTTTTTAATAGCTGAATAGTATTCCATTGTTTAAATGAACCACATTATCTTTATCCATTCTGTTGAGGGACACCTGAACAGCTTCTGGCTATTAAAAATAAAGCTACTATGAACATAGTTGAGCAAGTGTCCCTGTGCTATTGTGGGGCATCTTTTGGGTATATGCCCAGGAGTGGTATAGCTGGGTCCTGAGGTAGCACTAGTCCCAATTTTCTGAGAAACTTTCAAAATGATTTCCAGAGTTTTTGTACAAGTTTGCACTCCCACCAGCAATGGAGGACTGTTCCTCTTTCTCCACATCCTCACTAGCATGTGCTGTCTCTTAAGTATTTGATCTTAGCTGTTTTGGTGGGATTAAGATGGAATCTCATAAGAGGTTCCACATTCCCAGATGCTGCCTGTACACCAGGTCAGAGAGGCCAGGGCAAAGTCTACAATGGTTGGGATCTGTAGTCTGCCTGTTCCCTCTTCGGTGTCAGACATTACAGTATGCCAGACAGAGGAAGGGGAAGGGGAGTCTGGGAGGAATATATTCTACAGGACTGTGGTCCAGCCTGGAATACCAGGAGTGTTACATTTCTTAGAAAAGGAATAAAGAGATTTGGGCAGTCAATGTAAGGCAGGTGGCCAGGGTCATGGGTGCCCAGATAGTTGTAGCATCAGCCATGGTAATGTCAGAAGCCTTCACTCTGATATGAGCCTCTGTGAGCAAGGAGGAGCCTGGCCAGTCTGACAGGTCCAAGGTCCAAAGATGAATGAATGCTTCATGGGGGAGAGCCTTCCCCCAACTATTACAGCTCAATAACTCAGTGAAATAACTTGTGCATTTCATTCCATGTGGACAGGGACTATATGAACCTTGAGGAGTGGGATGAGATTGGGGGGGGATACATTTTATTAGCTGAGGCTAATACACTAGTGATCAATTTGCATGGGAAAGTAGTCCGGGTGCTGTACTATGTGACTGGCTGCTGGTAATCACCTAGTTGGGGGTTATGGTTATGTGCCCCCAAAGTAGGCATGGAATCAGGGAGGGAGTTTAGCTCTACTCCTGCCATCTCAGATCTCTGAAATTTCCAGAGTTTGAGCATGTTCCACCTGGACAGTCCCATGCCCATTCTTCTGGTGGCACTATCCAAATGCAGTACACTCCTAGTCATTTTAATTTGCATTTCCTTGATGACTAAGAATGTTGAACATTTCTTTAAGTGCTTCTCAACCATTAGAAATTCCTCTGTTGAGAATTCTCTGTTTAACTCTGTACCCCATTTTTAATTGGATTATTTGGTTTGTTGATGTCTAGTTTCTTGAGTTCATTATACATTTTGGATATCAGCCCTCTGTCAGAGGTAGTGTAGGTGAAGACCCAGAAGTAAACCCAAACACCTATGGACACTTGCTTTTTTTTTTTCAAAGAAGCCAAAATTATACAATGCTACAAAAAGAAAGCATCTTCAACAAATGGTGCTAGACAAAGTAGATGTTTGCATGTAGAAGAATCCAAATAGATGCATATTCATCACCCTGCACAAAACTCAAGTCCAAGTGAGTCAAAGGCCTCAACATATAACTGAATACACTAAATCTGACAGAAGAGAAAGTGGTGAATAGCCTTGAACCATTTAGCACTGGAGACAACTTCCTAAACAGAACACCAACAGTTCAGGCACTAAAATCAACAATTAATAAATGGGACCTCATGAAACTGAAAGGCTTCTGTAAGGTGAAAGACACTATCAAAAGGACAAAACAGTAGCCTACAGAATAGTGGTTTTTTTTAAATAGGATCAGAATGTACAGTCTTGTCTCATAAGGTCTCAAGGGATAAAGGCCCTTTCCCTTTTACAAATTTTGAGATTTCTACATGAAACAGTACAGATTGAACCAAGTTTCAGGAAATAAATCTCTTAATATTACTTAGCTCAATTAACTATATAAACCAGGATATTAATGATTCTAATATAATCAAATTGCTACTTGATCCTATAAGAAACAAAATAGCAACAAAGTTCATTCAGTTCAGTGGGGCTTGAACTCAAAAATGAACTCAGAGAAGATGATAATTCAATTGTGACATCAACACAAGAATATAACATAGAAGAAATAGGTTAACGGAAACTGGAAACAAAACCTAAGGTCTTATTTCTGTGTGTAGATGCATGTATTTGAGTCTGAGCTTATCCATGTGAATGAAGTGCCTGCTGAGGCCAGAAGAGATCATCAGCTTCCCTAGAGCTGGAGTGTGTACTGGCTGACATGGGTGGTGTGAACTGAACTCAGATCCTCTACAAGAGGACCCACTCTTAGTCACTGAGCCATCACTGCAGCCCAGAAATGGGAAGATTTTTACATAATTTCCTATTATTATTATTATTCAGTTAGGTTCTACATTTGAGGTGAAGTCGTGGCTCACTGTGATAGGATGTCTTGGTTTATCTCTATGGTCCCCAGTATTTTTATTCCGTAATTTCTCAACTACACCAACTACAATGAATTCCTTACATAGTTATGTCTATTCTTGTCTGTTTTCATATTCTTTTATTTTTAAGCCCCCAAATCAGTCTGGAGGTATGTTTGCTATAGTCCTTTGGGGTTCATGGCTTCAGCTTTACAGTTCTATTGACTGCCTAAAACTGAAAGCAGAACTTGCTGTCTTTTAGATTTTTTTTCAAGTCCTCAAAGGGAACCATGATTCCCACAAAAGTTCCCCTGAAATGATAGTAATAAAAAAAAATCACTGAATCAATTGTCAGAAGATATAGTTCAATGGCAGT